AGACATTTGCTAAAATGAATTTTACCTCATTTTATTACTTTCTTGCCACACTTGTTAAGTGAATCACTGGGCTTGTTGTTTTATTTGAGAAAAGCAGTACTGCATTCTTGCTTAAACAGGAAAAGAGGGTGTCTACCCTGCACAACTGAGGCACAATTTGCAAGGATACAACAGTGCGGTGTGATTTGTAAACCCCCAAGAGCAGTTTTTCAAATAATATGACCATGTTCTTCAGACGGTTGTCCCTCACTCTTCACGCTCCAAAATGTTTAGGGGGAAAAAGCTAAATAAACTTCAAGGAGGTCAATAGATGGTATCACACAGGATTTCTGAGGGGTTTTTTCCCCCCTTCTTTTCACTTCAGACAGGAATTTAATTTAATGGTTTATTGTGTTCCGAGAATGTATTTGTGTTGGCCCAGAGCTACTGAGACTTGTTCAATGGGAGCCCCTCCCAAGTAAATGGATAACAGGATGGAAGCTTGTAGTACAATTTGCTTATCATTCCATCTTTTGATAAGTATATATTTAAAGACTTTTAAGGTCAGCATTTTATGGTTCTTGAAATGGTGTCAGGGGAGCCTCTGACTTAATGATGGCAGCTTTATATAGAAAGCGGTATATAAATCTAAGTGCTATTGCTATTGCTTTATGACCTATGGACTTCAACTCATGGTTGGCTCAAGAATTGCAGGAGTTTGAAATCCGCAGGTCGAAAATTCTTATAGTTGTCCACTCCTTCTCTTGTCCTACATCTCCACTCTCTGAGATCTCTGGATCTTCTGAGTATAGGTTGAGAGGGATCAGGCAGAATTACAGAATAACAGAGGTGAAATCCCAAAGGTGCTTTTTCAAGAGGCAACTGGGCTTCCTGGTTTTTCTTTGAAGACGTTTCGCTTCTCATCCAAGAAGCTCTGTGCTGAAGAAGCTCCTTGGATGAGAAGCGAAATGTCTTCAAAGAAAAAACAGGAAGTCCAGTTGCCTCTTGGAAAAGCACCTTCGGGGCAACCATGACCTGGAGGACTGAGAATCTCCATAGACAAGAAAGTTGAAAGGGCCTTGGAGGTCTTCTAGTACGACTCCAACCCTACTGTTGTTGTTAGTTGCAAAGTGGACAATGTTCCTCCAGGCCTTCCTGTCCTCTACCATCCTCTGGAGTCCATTTAAGCTCATGCCAACTGCTTCAGTGACTCCATCCAGCCACCTCGTTCTCTGCTGTCCCCTTCTTCTTTTGCCCTCCATCGTCCCAACATTAGGCTCTTCTCCAATGAGTCCTTCCTTCTCATTAGGTGGCCAAAGTATTTGAGTTTCATCTTCAGGATCTAAAGAGCAGTCAGTGACAGTTGATCTCCTCTAGGACTGACCAGTTTGATCGCCTTGCAGTCCCAGGGACTTGCAGGAGTCTTCTCCAGCACCAGAGTTCAAAGGCCTCCATTCTTTGACGCTCGGCCTTCCTTATGGTCCAACTTTCACAGCCATCCATTGCAACTTGGAAAACCATAGCTGTGACTATACGCACTTTTGTTGGCCGGGTAATGTCTCTCCTCCAACATAAAATTTTGGGCTCAATTGTGATTGTAAGTCGAAGACTTACTATATATACTATATAACTAAAGTTGCTTTCTCAAAAAACTTTTTGCCATATCCAGTAATCCAGTTCTCTGGATTAATTTCTTCTTAGCCTAGGGCAATTATTGATATCAAAAGGGGAAGAAAAGCAGAATTCGTTGTTAATGCTCAAAAATCAATACCGCCAAGTTTCTGATGCAGAAAATCCAGCTAATCTTATTATAAATCTCCTTGGCAAGCCGCAAGCTTAGGAGCTGGCTTCTTGTTTAATCATGCCATTCCTTACTTAAAGACTTCGGAAGGGTTGAAATTCACTTTTATTTCTGAATGAGCCCCAGAGGAAAATCCTCTGGTTAAGGTAAAGGTAAATGTTCCCCTTGCACATATGTGCTACTCATTCCCGACTCTAGGGGGCGGCGCTCATCTCGGTTTCAAAGCCGAAGAGCCAGCACTGTCCGAAGACGTCTCTGTGGTCATGTGGCCGGCATAACTCAATGCCAAAGGCGCATGGAGCTCTGTTACCTTCCCACCAAAGGTGGTCCCTATTTCTCTACTTGCATTTTTTTTTTACATGCTTTCGAACTGCTAGGTTGGCAGAAGCTGAGACAAGTCACGGGAGCTCACCCCGTTACGTGGCACTCGGGATTCGAACCGCTGAACTGCCGACCTTTCGATCGACAAGCTCAACATCTTAGCCACTGAGCCCCTTTCTCAGACTCTGGTTACCCACTTGCTAAAGAGAACATTCCTACCTGGATTGTATTTAACGATCATTGAAATTGCAGAAATGAAACTTTGAGCATCCTCTTCGGATTCCAGGTAGATCCGATTCATATCGTTAACATGGCCACCAATATTTCGAGGTTATGATGTGCTCCAGAGAAGTAGCATTCTGCCTTGAGCAGGTGTCACCAAACCTGGCGAACTTAAGACTAAGGGACTTCAACTTCCAGTATTTCCCCAACCAGCATGGCAGGCTGAGGAATCTTGGGAGTTGAAGTCTTAAAAGTTGCGAAGTTTGGAGGCACCTGCTCTTGAGGAATCAAAGTTTGCGTATAAATGGGTCTTTTCTTCCTGATTTTTCACCGCTGTCTGGCCAAGCCACCGATGTTGGAAAGTGGGTAGCATTTCATTCTTCTCACCAGGGTAATTATTCCACATTTTCACAGGCTGGCAGGTGCATGCCTTGTGCCTGGAGAATAACACGTTGGCCTCCTCACAATTCTCCATCCCTCGTTTCTCAAAAGGGTCTTTCCTCATCCAATGTAATGGCTCCGTTCCCGGAACCCGCTCTTTCAGGCTTAACCAAAAAAGGAAAGACAAGGTTGAGTGTGCTCCTAACAAAGACATTGTCTTTCCCTCAGCTGAACTACCACGAGAACATTCTCCTCAGGGCTCTTGAGAAAAAAGCATTTGGATCGATTGCCAAACTCAGCCAGAATTCCATTTGCTGTTCCCCCAACCCAAACTGACCAGAAAATTCCCAGGCTCCGTAAGAACAGAGGAAAACCACCAACCTATTTTTGTAAAATAATAATAATAATAATAATAATAATAATAATAATAATAATAATAATAATAATAACCATCGGCATTGACAAAATCCCCATCGGTCAATTGCAAAAGGCAGCTTTGCTTGGAACAGCTTACATCCTGCGGATGACAACTTTAACGCCGCCAAATGACCACGTCTGCCGATTCCAAGTCCTTGAGAAGGGATTCGACAAGTGGACAAAAATGCCAAATGGAATCTGAACTACTGGCTGACTGTATGATAAGCCATAATAGTAATTTATTATTCGAACCCTTGAACACTGTTGGCATTAACAACGTGCCCCTCGGTCAATTGCAAAAGGCAGCTTGAGTTAGAACAGCTTACATCCTGCGACCATTCCTTCAACACCATCAGACGTCAACAACTACCTATCCTGGGTGCTTGGGAAGGACTTGATAGGTGGATAAAGGTGACCTGATTGTACCACCCACCATAATAATAAGTTAGTATTGTAGTGCATTCAGGTGATGCTTACTATGTCTTAGTTCAATTTCCGTTACTGTATTGATTGATTGGAGAGAAAAGAACACTATGCAAATTAGACTGGATTTTAGCTGAGAGGGAATGCCCACTGAAATAACACCCTTAAGAAGACTATACATGATCCAACAGAAGGTCTATTTGCTGCAGTCTTCTTCTACCTACAAAGATGTTCTTGAGAAGTTCAGAAGCATTCCACTAACAAAATCACTACCATATTCGCGTTTGTTTCTCCTAACAATGAGGCCATCAGTGTACATCAATGCGCTTGAGATAACCAAATGAAGATACATCTAGAACTTTATTCCTCCAGACCATCATGCCAGAGGTCCTCCTGAGCAAACAGACAGATGGGGATTGGATGCAGAAGTTAAATTTAGACCTTTCTACTGTCTGTCCCAATCACTAACATGGAATTCACCCACGAATGAAGGCGAATATAAGGTGTCCCAGGCAGTGGTGAAATCCAATTTTTTTTACTACCAGTTCTGTGGGTATGGTCTGGCTTGGTGGGCATGGCTTGATGGGCATGGCAGGGCGAAGGATACTGCAAAATCTCCATTCCCACCCCACTCTGGGGCCAGCCGGAGGTGGTATTTACCAGTTCTCTAAACTACTCAAAATTTCTGCTACCGGTTCTCCAGAACCTGTCAGAACCTGCTGGATTTCACCCCTGGTCCCAGGATAATGTTGCAGGATCCAATCTAGGTCGTCCATCGGGACCAGAGGTTTTGTCTTCCAAGCTTTTGGAAACAGGCCCCTCGTTAGTCAACAGGAGTGTTGATTTCTGGTTGACGTCATGGCAATTTCAGACACAAGGAATGGGTCCCCGCGTTCCCTGTGCTGAGTTCTCCCTGTTTGTGGGCTCTGAGAGGAGCCAAAGCTGCTCTGTAGGGGCGGTGAAACTAAGAGGGGCACCCTGTGAGGTCGAGGAAAGTCGCAGTTCTCCTTTCTGACCCGGGGTTGTTTTTCCCTCTCAGCCACGACGAGAAGAAGAGGCAGACTAAAGATGGCTGCCACAAAGGCAAGGGCTGGGCAGCACGAGCAAATGACAGCCAATGACTTAAAAGCAACACACTCCAATCCATGTCTAAAAAATCCACATGCAACAGGCTCTATAAATATCACACACAGAACAACACACACACTGTTAGAGAGACGTTCCCTGAAGATGGACTCCAGCACGAGTCCAAAAGCTTGAAAGACAAAACCTCCAGTACTGGTGATTGACCCAGACATGGAATTCATCTCTTGGACGGAGCTTTGCATTTGACTCCGTAGAACGAAGAACCCACATTTCCTAAATTCATCTTTGTTTCCATGAATGAAGCATCTGTCTCCCCAGTTAGCTAAATCCCTTAAGGGGCATTTCTTGATTTGAATAAACTTATGAGAGCTTCTGAAGTTCCAGGGATTTTATTCATGTCCCTATTTCGGGTCACCTTAAAAAGACAAGAGAATGCCGTTACATTTCCAATGGCTTCTTCTCCATCAGAAGAATTATCATGACAATTACAAGGTCATTTGGGCCAAAGAATAGACGCAACCCACAAAGATTAGGCAGGCCCAGGTCACAGTGAAATAAATAATACGGCACTATCCAATCAAGACTGCATCCGGATGTTCAAGAGACAATGCCCTATCTGTACTAACAGGTCCAGAAAGAGCCATTTGAAACCCATCACTTCTCTCCTTAACTGGTACCCAGAAGGAAGTTTCTTCTAATATTCAACTGGGAAGTGGTTTTCCTCTCAATTTTATTCATAATTACATGCTCTAAGGCAGTGATGGCTAACCTTTTTGCCATCGCATGCCAGGAGAGGGGGGTGGAGGGCTCACGCGTGCCCACACCCATAATTCTATGCGCCCCACCCCACTCATGCGTGCACGACTCTCCCCCATGCTCCCCACGCTCCTGGCACATGATGGCCTGGTAGGCCTGTTTTTCTCTCTCACCTGGCTCGAGCCTCTCTAGGAGTCTGGGGAGGGTGAAAACGGCCTTCCCCACCCACCCGGAGGCCTTCCAGAGGCTGAAAATAGCCCATTTGCCAACTTCTGGCCTCCGGAGGGCCTCCGGGGAGTGGAGGTGGGGAAGGATGTTTTTGCCCTCCCCAGACTCCTAGAGAGGCTCTGGAGGCTGGGGACAGCAACAAACAGGCCTTCCGGTCCCACAGGAAGTTGGCAAATGGGCCATTTCTGGCCTCCGGAGGGCCTCCGGGGGGATGGGGAAGGCCGTTTTCACCCTCCCCAGACTCCTAGAAAGGCTCTGGAGGCTGGAGACAGCAAAAAACAGTCCTTCCCCACCACCCTCTGAGGCCCTCCGGAGGCAGGAAACACCCTGTTTCCCTACTTCTGGTGGGCCCTGAAGGCTCAAAAATCAGCTGGCCGGTGCGTGCATGTGCGCCGGAGCTGAGCTTGCGTGCCCACTGATATGACTATGTGTGCCACCAGTTCCCTCCTGGGTCAACTATGTTTCTTGTCCCCTGATCATCTAGGCTTCCCTTCTCTGCACCTATTCTAGGTTCTCTGAATCTTTTGGGGGGGAGGGTCTTTTTTGGGGTAGGGAGGCAATATGCAGAACTGGATGAAGAATTTGAAAGGATAGACTCAAGGCAGAACAAAGTTGAACGATTACTTTCCATGGACAATCGTTCTCTTGATCTGAGGGATACCCAGTGGTGGGCTGCTGCCGGTTCAGACCGGTTCGAGTGAAACGGTAGTTCTGATGATCAGCTAGCTCCACTCAACGGCACCCACCCTATCATTTCCTATATTTCCTTCTTTCTCGCTCAGCTGCAGGGGTGAAATTTAAATTTTTTCCCTAACTGTTCTGTGGGCGTGGCTTGGTGGGCATGGCAGGGGAAGGATACTGCAAAATCGCCATTCCCACCCCACTCCAGGGGAAGGATACTGCAGAATCTCCATTCCCACCCCACTCTGGGGCCAGCCACAGGTGGTATTTTCCAGTTCTCTGAACTACTCAAAATTTCCGCTACCGGTTCTCCAGAACCTGTCAGAACCTGCTGGATTTCACCCCTGCTCAGCTGATTTGTGCGGCACAGCTGTTCTACTTACCAGGGCTGCCTTAGAAGTTAAGCAGCTGAGCTTCAAAGTGAAGTGTGCGCTCACAGAAACGATTGTTAAACTGGTTGCAGCCCACCACTGGGGATACCCAGTCAACTGAAGGATTTTGACATCAACCTGGATGTTTCATCCTGTCGCCCGTCATTTGGCACCCTCTAAATGTTCCAGGATTGGATATCATCAGCCAGGTGAAAAATTTGAAAACCGCAATACTACTGCAGTTAGGATTGGGAAGGGATGCCTGAATCAATTCTCCATGGATTTTGCAACTTCACCTGGGTTCTGTCAGTTTTAGTAGTATCCCTTCTTTCATCGTTGTAGATTTTATTTTTTTAATATCTGTAAAACTAGTCCTGGACCTGAGACCCTAGACTCACTCGAGACCCTGAGGCCAATGGCCCTCAACCCTATGGCAGTGATCAAAGATTTACTACATATTTCTCCAGTCACAATTATTTTGTTTCCCCCCATGCATCACAATATGATAAGCAAAATGAATGGTGTAAATAAACATCAACTGCAAATAAAAGCTTTCTTTAAAAGATACACAGAGAATAGAATACTGACACGTTTTACAGGAAACAGATTTTACCTTATGTGTGTGGATTGATTGATTGATTGATTGATTGGCTGATTGATTGATTGAGGGATGCCAATGTTCTTCAACTTGGCCATTTTAAGATGTGTGGACTTCAACTCCCAGAATCCCTCAGCCAGCATGAAGTTGAAGCTTAAAACATCTTAAAAGTTGGAAAAACACTGTTTGACACTAATTTGACACTGGTTTGGTGCTAGCTGAGTATCTCAAGTGGCCAAAATGGTTCATTCAAGTCATTGTCAACCAGATGAAGGACGGATGACTTGATGCCCAACGGGACTTCACAATTCCTTCCAGGTCAAAGCTCACCGTTTGCTTTTAACAGACTTTAAATAGCCTGTGAGCAGCACGCAGGGAGCTTTGGGCCAAGACGAAAACAATCAAAGAAAACGTGTTGACTTTATCTTGAGTTCAAACTCAACTGAGTTGATAGGACATTTTACTCTTTCCAGTTGGGCATTTCATCATTTTTACCTTAGGTCACCTTTAAAATGACTACTTGGGGCAATGTCTGGAAGTCTTAATGGGCTAGTTCTACAATGCTACATGGGGCCATGTGTCCATCAATCCCCAATTATAATATGGGTTATGTAGTCTCACTAGATGAGATGTTCAAAACGATTACCCTACGTTGTTCTAGAGAAGTGAGAGTTGGACGTGGCTTGTCAGCACAACCAGGAGAAATAAAAGTTGAGGCACACAGCAAGCTGGTTCTCCAAAGATCTGGAAACGTTACATTGTGTGATGAGAGATTTGGAGAAGCCAGGGATGCGTAAATCTGGAACGTAACTCAAAGTGCAAAACGATAAAATCTACAATTCCATAAAATCACTGACAACCAGCTATCTGCTGTCCTCTTAACAATACACAGGTGATTGAATATCTAATACATTGGACGTCGACACCGAAAAACATCTGCGTAAAATAAATGTGCCTCTCCTTTCCTTTGTAAAGCTATGAAACACCACGGATCGCTCGCTTTCTTTCTTTCTTTCTTTCTTTTTTAAGTGCACAAGTTTAAACATCAAAGAGGAGCCCAAGAGGACTTTAGACGGTGAGAGAGATGAAACTGTTGTATCTCTGGATGTTCCTCTTGAGGATTTCGGAGCAAGGGCCGAGGACTCGTTCGAAGCGTGGGCGGTCCAGCTTCACACACTTCAAGGGCCCGCGGGCCACCACGGTAGCAGCCCTGGGCCTGTTGAGCAACAGGGCAATTTCCCCTGGAAGTGGGAAGAAAACGCAGTGTCACCATCGTATACATCCGGAGAACATGCCTTTGGCTTTGATCTCGGTTCGTATCATTAGCTATTTCCAGATCAGGAATTTAGTAGGCAATTATTCTGCCCTATTTGGCAAAACTAAACAAGAAACCCAAGACACCAACATCATCCTTAAAATATACTACTGTGTTTCCCCGAAAATAAGACCTCCCTGGATAATAAGCCCAATTGGGCTTTTGAGCACATGCGCTAAAATAAGCCCCCCCTGAAAATAAGCCCTGCCTGAAAATAAGCCCTCTGAAAATAAGCTCTTCCTGAAAATAAGCTCTTCCTGAAAATAAGCCCTCCCTGAAAATAAGCTCTTCCTGAAAATAAGCCCTCCCTGAAAATAAGCTCTTCCTGAAAATAAGCCCTGCCTGAAAATAAGCCCTCCCTGAAAATAAGCTCTTCCTGAAAATAAGCCCTGCCTGAAAATAAGCCCTCCCTGAAAATAAATTCTTCCTGAAAATAAGCTCTTCCTGAAAATAACCCCCCTTGAAAATAAGCCCTCCCTGAAAATAAGCCCTCCCTGAAAATAAGCTCTTCCTGAAAATAAGCCCCCCTGAAAATAAGCCCCCTGAAAAAAAGCCCTCCCTGAAAATAAGCTCTTCCTGAAAATATTTACCCGCAAGCGCAGCTGGTCCCCACCATTTCCTCTGGTTAGGGTTAGGGAGACAGAGCTAGAAATCAGATAAGACGGCAAGAGGAGCCCCGTCTTGCTCCACACGCCCCAAAATAATAAAATCACCCTGAAAATAAGACCAAGCGCTTATTTCGGGGTTCAAAAAATATAAGACAGGGTCTTATTTTTGGGAAAACACGGTAAGGAAGAACAAGTGGGATAATTTGTGACTGCAAGGATCGCTTAACTTGAAATAGTCACCCATTTCCCTTTTCCTTTCTGATCCACTAGTCTGGTTTCTTCTCAGGCGTCCGTTTGCTAAGCTCTTCTCCTCAATTTTTCCTCTGAGCTATTCATTGCTTCCTTATTAACATTTTTTTCTGATCTAAGGACATCATAGGGGATCAAAGAATGCCTATCTAACATCACCTTGTACACCGTCTAAAATCTTTACCTTATACTTTGCCCTTGGTATCTAACTCAAATATGGAGCTCTGCAGATGTGATGGATAAAATTTCCCATAATTCCCAACTGCTGTGGTTGGGATATGATACATCCATAACCCCCAACCTCCATGATGACTTGGGAAGGAGAATGAAAGATCTCTGCATCCAAGAAGCGATCAGAAGACCCTTAGATCTGCCCAACAAGGGATGGGCTATTCTACAGGTCCAGCAATCATCGATAGTGCATTTGTGAATCCTCTCTACGATGAATGGCAGGCACGGAGAGATCCAATACTTCCATAAATGGCAACGCTGATATTTTATCAGTGTTTCTAAACCATTCCATTCCACAGAGTTTACTGTTGTGGTCCTCCAGCAGCCTGCGGAGCTAGCAGGGAAGTTGGACAGTCAGGGAGCTGGGGAGGACCATGGCCCAGTCCGGGAGTCGGGGGAAGGCCCGGATGAGGGCTCTGCGTCAGAGGCAGAGATGGGGCCAGGGCCATCTGGGAGTGATGCGCGGACTCCGGAGCCTCCAGAGTCGGACAGCAGAGAGGCAGAGGAACAGGAGGAGCCTATTCCTAGTGCGCGCATGCGCAGAGCTGCCAGAAGGCAAGAGCAGCTAAAGCAAAAGGGACGACTCGGGAGTAAGGCCAGGAGATGATTGGCCCCTCCCATAAGGCATAAAAGAGCAGCAAAGGCTCTTGGGCTCTTTGTAGGAAAGCAACATTGCTAAATCTGTTTTCCAGTCGGTGTCTCTTGTTTCTGAACTTCATGGGGCTTTGCCGAAAGGCCTTTGGCAGGGTGCCAAAGAAGACAAAGGTTTTTTTTCTGAAGGACTTGTTTTGGAATTAATTTGGACTAATCTGGGAATGAAGTAATTCTCAGCTGTTATAATAAAATAATTTTGTTTGAGACTAATTGTGTCCTGTAATGACTGAGTGAGCCTAGATCACAACACTTACCAAAATAATCAGATGGCCCCAGGCGTCCGACTTCTACATATTCCTCTTTGTCAGATCTACGTTGAAGGACAGAAGCCGTGCCCTAGAAGAGAAAACCCAAAGAATCAAGTACATATCACTAAAACACCGTGTTCCTTTGCTTACCTCTGAGGAGGGGCCATTTCAGACATGCTTTGCAGAAGGTCTTGGGGTTCTTCTATTAAAAGATACACCTCAAGCAGAGGTGGGTTTCACATTATGTTACTACTGGTTCACCGCACACGTGTATCAGTGGTGGGTTGCCCCTGGTTCGGACCGGTTCCCAAGAACCGGTAGTAAAACGGCGGGAGGCTCCGCTCGCTCACCCGGACATCATCTTCTCTTCTTTCGTTTCATTCTAGTCTAGTCTAGTCTATCTTATCCTATCATTACCTCCTTCTCTTCTCTCCTCTTCCCTGTACTATATTCTATTCTATTCTATTCTATTCTATTCTATTCTATTCTATTCTATATTCTATTCTATTCTATTCTATTCTATTCTATTCTATTCGTCTACCTACCCTACCCTATCTTATCCTATCATTACCTCCTTTTCCTCTCCTCTCTCTCCCCTTGTTCTATATTCTATTCTATTCTATTCTATTCTATTCTATTCTATTCTATTCTATTCGTCTACCCTACCCTACCCTATCTTATCCTATCATTACCTCCTTTTCTCCTCTCCTCTCCTCTCCTGTTCTATCTATTCTATTCTATTCTATTCTATTCTATTCTATTCTATTCTATTCCTCTACCCTACCCTATCTTATCCTATCATTACCTCCTTCTCTCCTCTCCTCTCCTCTCCTCTCCTCTCCTCTCCTCTCCTCTCCTCGTACTATATTCTATTCTATTCTATTCTATTCTATTCTATTTTTCTATTCTATTCCTCTACCCTACCCTATCTTATCCTATCATTACCTCCTTCTCTTCTCTCCTCTTCCCTGTACTCTATTCGATTCTATTCTATTCTATTCTATTCTATTCTATTCTATTCTATTCTATTCTATTCTATTCTTCTATTCTATTCTATTCTATTCTATTCTTCTATTCTATTCCTCTACCCTACCCTATCTTATCCTATCATTACCTCCTTCTCTTCTCTCCTCTTCCCTGTACTCTATTCTATTCTATTCTATTCTATTCTATTCTATTCTATTCTATTCCTATATGACAATATTATTATTTGCACATGGTATCCCGACTGTACCAGCAAATCCTTAGGGATCTTGTGAGATTGCTGTCTGGTTATGAAAGTGTGACCTTGAAGGTTTGGGGCAGAGAAAGTTTCTGAATCAGTGGCCAAGGCAGAGTGTTTTTTTTCTAGGTCAACTCCTGTCATTCTCACCACCAGGAGCTCAGGTTGGCTCCATCCAGAAGTGGAAATAATTACAGTTCCCGAAGAACTCTTTGTAGAAATTCCTGGGATCAGGGAAGATTTATTGCTTTGACTACCAAACGTTTATTAGCCTGAGGAGTGCTTCCTTCCCCCTCACCCTCCACCCCACCACCCCCTCTGGCCCAAGAGCTGTTGCGAGGTCAAATCTCCTTCTGAAAAATTGTAAGACATCAGGAATCTGAATAATGCGAATTCAGCATCTCTCCAGATCAGGCTGCTCACTAGCATTCAGTCTTAAGGAAGCAATTCCAAATCCTGAAGTCAACTGAAATATCCCATTAATGTTTTAAGTCAGTGAAGGAGGAACGTTTTTTTCAGAAAACTTCAGTCAACCTGAAGTTAGTAATGAAGGAGGCTGAGATTTGTAGCCGAGTGACAATAGGCTCTCTACCCTAGGAAAGTCTTTTTTAGATGGGCATCATTTGTGAATTTGGGCATAGTCATGCTATTTATTTCTCCTTTCAACCAACGAAGAAGCTGTTCCTAGGAGATTAGAAGAGATTCCTCCAGGAGTTTAAGGGGCTATAATCTTTCCTGCCATTTTTTTCCCCCGCACCACCCTCTGAAGTAGGTTAGGCTAAGCAACAAAATTCGGATCCAACGTCCAAGGAGCTTCTGTGTGGCTGAGGGTGGGCTTGAATCTGTATCTCCCAAGGTCATCCAAGGAATTTCTTTAGGACTGAAGTGAACTTGACCTGCGTCTCCCAAGGTTATTCAAGGAGTTTCTGTAGGACTGAGTGGACTTGGACCTGTGTCTCCCAAGGTCATCCAAGGAGCTTCTGTGTGGCTAAGGGTGGACTTGAATCTGCGTCTCCCCAGTTCTGGTCTAATGCTTTCAACACCAAGCCACATGAGTTCCTATTAATGAACAACTGATTAAACATACTATGGAAAATAAGTTGTGTTTTGTTTTGTTTTTAATGCCCAATATTATCTTAACTTGAGCCAAGCAGAAGCAAATTTCAAGTCACATCCAATCCAATGGAAATTGCTGTTGGCTGTAGCAGCTGGACCGAATCCAAGAAGAAGAAGAAGAAGAAGAAGAAGAAGAAGAAGAAGAAGAAGAAGAAGAAGAAGAAGGAGAAGGAGAAGGAGAAGGAGAAGGAGAGAAAGGAGAAGGAGAAAGGAGAGGAGAAGGAGAAGGAGAAGGAGAAGGAGAAGGAGAAGGAGAAGAGAGAAGGAGAAGGAGAAGGAGAAGGAGAAGGAGAAGGAGAGAAGAAGAAGAAGAAGAAGAAGAAGAAGAAGAAGAAGAAGAAGAAGAAGAAGAAGAAAACCCACCCCATTCAGCTTGCAAATGTTCAGTCCTTTTGCTCACATGCCAGATAATTTACCAGAAATGGACGTGACCAACATTATGCCTCATCGTCACGATTAGCTTGATTCCTACCAGTGGCTGAAGCTCAAGCCATCCAAAATTACAAGTTTGGGAACCGCGACACCCTAATCGCTCCAGCAGATGCTCCAAGGACTCAACCCAACCTCAAGGTGATGTTTTGAAAAACCCCTTTTTTTTAAAAAAAAAAAAAAAGAAAAATGTTTTTGAAAGACAGAACAGCTGGTTTTCATTTAAACTCTACACCAGCGTAATTTGGAGCCCGTTCAGTTCAATTTCGCCGATCTTTGCTCGCAAGCACACTCCTGGTTTCGGCCTGCAATATTCATTACCCCCGTTGAACAGGATCTCCTGAATGGGCCTCAGGATTTGGGTTTCAAAAGTAAACCCTTTCTTGGAGCGATGTCCGCCAATCCCTTCGTGCTATTCTTGCTTGGCGAACATTAATTGGACAATAATGGGATGAAAAAAAAACTTGGTTCGGCTTGGAGAGGTTCACTAAACTATCAGTTATGTGGCTCTGGATAACCACAGGTTCCTTCCTAAAATACCAGGCAGTTCTTGAAAAGTCAAGACCTCTAGAGTTTGTTTCTTCCAGAAGCTTCCTAAGAAGCCCACATTAGCTCATCTCGACTCTCTAGCAAAACAGAATTCAAGAGGAAGAAGAATGACCGAACAATGGCTGAATTTGATGCAATCTAGTGCATGTTTTGGTGGGAATGAAGTCCAACTCCATTAAAAGCCTCTTTGACTCTTTTCAAACTTTATATACAGTTGTTTTTTTTAATCTTTTCATGTTTTATTTGTACACCACCCAGGTATACAGTAGTGGCCAAAATTGTGGAAACCTTTTGGGAAAAGTATATTTTTGAGGTTTGATGGCTAATAACACCACTTTTTGGGGGGGAGTTTCAAGAGAATCCTATTCCACTGCTGGAATGGCCTGGGAATAGCCCAGACCTTCACCCAATTGAAAATCTAGGGAGCTGACTAAAGAAACTGGTTAGTCAGAAGCGACCCAGCAATAAAACCCAGTTAATAGAAGCCATCGTTCAATCTTGGTTTCGCATTAGAACAGCTGCAGAACTAAAAGACTTGGTTCACTCCATGGGATTTTGCAATATCCTTCTCCCAGGAGTAAGGAGGGAATGGGGATTTTGCAGTATCCTTCTCCCAGGAGTAAGGAGGGAATGGGGATTTTACAATATCCTTCGAATGAAGTGGGGATGGAATGGAGATTTTGCAGTATCCTTCCCCTGCCACACTCACCAAGCCACACCATGCCCACCAAGCCATGCCCACAGAACTGGTAGTAAAAAAATTGGATTTCACCACTGCTTTCTTCCCTCCCTCCTTCCTTCCCTTCTCCTTCCTTCCTTCCTTCCTTCCTTCATTCCTTCCTTCCTTCCTCCCTCCCTCCCTCCCTCCCTCCCTTCCTTCCCACTGTCTGGGGGACCTACTGGGTCTCTCTCCTGGTTGAACATAGGATTGGACTAAAAGACCTCCAAGATCCCTTCCAGCTTTATTATTATTTTGCTATTCAGTTGCCCAAAGAAAGAAGCCACCTGGTTCTCTTTGATCAGATTTGGTCAAGTGACCTTCCCTCAACCCTAGAAGAACTTCTGACTCAGCTTACTTGGCTGGATGAACCAACAGGAAGAAGGAGAAGAAGGTAGCTTGTGAAGTCTGCCTGCATCTCGCCCCATTCTTGCCTAACCCAACCGCTCTTCTGTATCCTCTCCAACCTTTGTTAGGAGGACTTCTTGCAAGAAAACCAACTCCCTTGGGAGGAAGGAGAACAAAGCGGTAGAGCTGGCTCGCTTGCTCTATTTGGGGAGGCACAGAAATAGCCACCCAGAACAGAAAAGGAAGAAAAGGGAAAAATGCCTCTCAGGATGACAATACATCAAGACTGGAGTGTAGGAAAAACAGCTCAGCCACAGGGCATTTCTGAAAGGTCCGTGAAAGGGCAGGGTTACCGCTCTGGCGCAACTCCACCCCATGGGCCATTAATCATCAGGAAATGCCTTCTCCTCGATCCTTTCCCCAGCTACAAATCAAGGAAGGGGAAGGGGAAGGAAAGCAGCCTGCTACTGTAATGGGGGCTGAATGGGACAACTCGCCACAGCCAACTCACCATGGTCAACTACCTATGGCCAATTCACCATGGCCAACTCACCATGGCCAACTCACCATGGCCAGCTCACCATGGCCAATTCATCATGACCAACTCACCATGGCCAACTCACCATGGCCAATTCATCATGGCCAACTCACCATGGCCAACTCACCATGGCCAGCTCACCATGGCCAATTCACCATGGTTAACTCA